CACTCCACCCGGTCAAATGCTTTCTCGGCATCCAGCGAGATTAAAATTTCATTGCAATTGTGACCGGGTGGAGCAGAAGTATACAGCACAATAAACAACCGCCTGATATTAAAGAAGTATTGACAATTTTTAATAAAACTGGTATGGTCAGGTGCAACAATTGAGGGATAATCTGTTCGACTCGTTTTGCCAACATCTTTGTAAGAATTKTTACATCAGTATTTAAAAGCGATATTGGGCGATACAAACTGCAGCTCAAGGGGTCTTTTTGCTTCTTTAAAAGCAAGGAAATTATCGCCTGACGCATAGACAGTGGCAATAATTGTGTAGCTAAGGATTCCTCAAAAACTGAGAATAACGGGAGAAAGTAGGTCAGAAAATTTCTTAAAGAATTCTGCCGGGAAACCATCTGGTCCTGGAGATTTTCCATTTTGCATGTTTATCATGCAAATCAGGCAGAGTTTATCTCAGCTGAAGAGAAATCTCTTTCCAACTCGTTGGATAGGTCAGAACTTAGTGAAGGGATTTTAATATCTTTAAAAAAATCGTCCAATTCAGGAGGGTTTGGTGAGGCTTCGGAGGTATACAGAGATTGGTAAAATTTGCTGAAACATTTTACACCATGCTTATCATTTATTGCTGAGATATCCTGTTTAGCTGAGCGCTGCCATAGCTGCTGTGCAAGAAGGCGTCCAGCTCTCTCACCATGCTCATAGTAGCCATACCTAGATTTGGATATTAAAAATTCGGCCTGTTGGGTAGATAAGATGTTAAACTCTGTTTGGAGTAATGTACGTTTCTTAAGTGAGTCTTGTGTAAAAGCAWGGCAGCATTCCCTGTCTAATTGTAAAATCTGATCTGTTAGCAATTTTAGCCGTTCGTTGTTTTTCTTCTTTTTATTTGCACAGTAAGAGATTATTTGACCTCTCAGGTAAGCCTTTAATGACTCCCAAACAGTGCTGAGTGGCATCCCAGGAGTCCGATTAAAATCAATAAAAAACTTAATTTCAGAAGCAAGCATATCAACTAAGTCTTCGTCAGATAAAAKTATCGGATTAAGTCGCCAAGGACGATAGACCGATTGCGTAACAGGAACGTTCAATTTCATAATGAGCGGACTATGATCAGAAATGACTATCGCTCCATAATCACATCCACTCACTAAAGGTAAAATCCGTTTATCGAGGAGAAAGTAGTCAATCCGTGAATAGCTCTTATGAACAGGGGAAAAGAACGAATACCATCTCAGGGTCGGATTACAAAAACGCCACACGTCAACAACTCCATAATTCTTAAGAAATGAATTAATTGAGTGGGCCGATTTAGAAAGAGAGATCCTCCCCACTGTACTACGATCGAGGGACGACAGCACACAGTTCACATCTCCCCCAAGGATGAGATTATGCATTGAAATTTTAGGTAAATTTGAAAAAAAAAAAACGTATTAAAAAATGTTTGATCATCCTAATTTGGAGCATATACCGAGACTAAAATGACAGGAAGTGCATATAGTTTTCCCACCACAATTACATAACGTCCAGCAGCGTCCGTTTTAACACTGGATGCCGTAAATTRCACCTGTTTACTAACTAAGATGGCCACCCCTCTCGATTTAGATTGGAAATTAGACTGAAACACCTGACCAGGCCAGCGCCTGCTTAGATTTGCACTGTCTGCCTTACGCAGATGGGTCTCCTGCAAAAAAGTAATATTAGCATTAAGCTGTCTTAAATGTGTCATAACTTTCCTAAATTTCACTGGACCATCGAGGGATTTCACATTCCAACTCACACAGTTAACTGGGTGACTGTTGGTGAACTTGGTAATATTAGAACTGTTCATGTATGGTCAATTGGACTGTAGTACAATATCTACAAACCATCACAAAAAAATAACCTGAAAAAGACATGTTCAAAACAAATAGATCCCGTATAGTCCCACCCCTTTCTCCTAAGAAAAAACGGAGAACCCAACAAACAAAAAATCCACACATTTGTGCTTATACTGGGGGGGCTTAACTCCCTGCCTGTACTCCCGCCACAACTAAATAACAATAACCAATAAAATATAAAAAGGGGTTCCCTTACTTTAAAGTATTATTACTGTTTATGCTCCTTGCAGCACTGATAAATAAATCACTAACCAAGATCCGGACATACCCCCTGTGAAACTCTCGTACATAGAACAAAAAGAAGAATGTTGTCCTTGAGAATAATGTCTAAAATTAAATCAAGATATAATGCGGGACATAAAGTTGGAAGGTTCATTACAACCTGACAGTTATAATGTATCGATGATGGTTGGACCTGCGGTCAACGCCGGTCCCCGTTTTCCGTCGCTTAGATGATCCTCTTTTTAATGTAGTCCATTGCTTTATTGGCATCCAGGAACTCCTTGTTTTCCTCCCCATGAGAGATGCGGAGCCGTGCAGGAAAAAGCAGGCCGTAGCGAACATCACGTCGGTTGCGAAGAAGACTCCTTACCTCCGTAAACGCCGCTCGAGCCCTGGCCACAGCCGTCGTGTAGTCAGATGTGATGATGATCGGTGTCTCTTTAAAACGAAGAAGACCACGACTCCGAGCCCGACGCAGTATTTCCACACATTCTTGATAATAGTGCAGCTTAGCAACAATGACCCGCGACTTATCGCCTGACCTGTTTCCACCTGGAGAGCGATGGGCTCGGTCAACCAGTGGCTCTTTATCCATCTGTAGAACCTCTGCTAGCAGTTTAGCCACTGCTGAAGTGGAGCTGGATTCTGGCGTTTCAGGAACTCCAATAATCCGCACATTGCACCTTCTCATGCGCCCTTCCATATCGTCACACTTCTTTTTGAGCCCGCCGACTTCTTCTTTCAGTTCCAACACGGTGGTGCGCTGCGAAACAACCTCTTCGGACCAGGTTGACAAGCTGTCCTCCACCTCTTTAACGCTCTGTTTCACGTGGTCCAGATCTGCGCGCAGTAGCATCGTGCCGTTAGCCACCTCCTCTCTCACCGCTTTTAGCTCCCCTTTAATAAGAGTAAACTCTTCAGCCAAAGCCGCTTTTATTTCGAATTTGATTACAGCTGAGATATCGGTTTTTATAGCGGCAAGAATGTCAGACTTCAAGCGGAGTGGGTCCACCTTGCCGCGGGAGGGAGAGGGGTGCGCCGAAAGTCTGGTCCTAGCTGCAGTCTGCTCCGGGGCGGCGTCAGGCCTAACAGCCGTCGAGCTAGAGTGTTTGCCTTTCCTCGAATTTGTTGCCATTCTTCTACTCTTCCAGGCAAGAATCACTCAGGAGTCGAGTCCGGACGGACCAAATGTTCAAAACAGCAAGGACATTTATTATAGAACCACAAACAGAACAAGTCCGAGCGGGAGCCCACGAGACACACGTCTCACTCCTCCACCATCTTGCCCCGCCTCTTAATCAAAAACATTTATAATATTATTTTACACTCTAGGTCTAAATGTTAATCAGAGGACAAAGTAATATTTAAGTTTGTGTTAAATTATATCATGATTTAACAGTGCTAAACTCTGCATATATGTTCCACAAGCTAATATCTGCTAACCAGTTCAATAAATAACAGTGATTACATCAACTTTATAAGATTATTTTAATTTCAAATTGTTATATTATTAGCTTCAGTTTTGCTCAGATCACATTGAGCTAAATAAGATCAAATCTGCTTACTTATGTTGTAAAATGAGTTTTCCTGTTTATCTTCCCTTAATAAATCCATAACACAAAAAGCTTTTCTGACATGATTTGAAACATTAGATTATATAAACTGTAAAACATTGATAATAATTGTGTTATTTTTATTATTAATAGTTTTAATGATTTCTACATGTTCAGTCCTTTTTTTCTGCTCTGTTGCCAACATGTACAGTAATGGGAAATCCAGACTCTTGACAGTCGATACAGCCAATCACACGGCCATGTGGTTTCTGAGCTCTCCAGTTGTTATATACATGTAAGCAAATTATTCCTTTGCTCAATGTTGGCTCATATGACAAATAATGGCATAAATATAGAGTGACACAACTATAAACACATTAACATTTTAGTAAATGTGACCGCAAAGATGTGCAAAACTAAGCAAAATAAAGAAAATTTGTATGACCCATACCTGCTGTCCTTAAGAACACTAATAATGCAGTAGTCAAGTAATATATGAAAATAAATAAACAAAAATGCTATCTGTTCTGTCTCCTCCCTGA